TGGTTTAGGCTTCACCACATACCTACCGAATCACACTGCCTTGGGGCTGGACTTAGGGTCTACATTTTTAAGCATATTCTCGGTGCTCCTGATGCTGCCTAGAGTCTGAGAAACACTGCTTCATGGAGTCCCTGGGCCTCGCCTTCACTTTACAGCTGAGGAGAGTAAGGTCCAGAGAGGGGATGTGAGCTGCTTATATAACACACATATTCAGGGGCAGATCCAGGATAAGGACCGAGTGCTGTCTCTTTCCACATCTCCTAGCTGCCCTGTTAGTGCCCACATTGTTATTAAAAACCAGCAGCAAATCTCTGGTGCTCTTAAGAGTGCTCTTAAGCAGACAAGACTTGCGTAAGTCCACAGGCTCACCCAAGCTCAGAGTCTGACCCCACGCTTCTCTAATAATACCTTGTCCTTAATAGGGCAAATCTTGGCTCATCTGGGGTAATTTTTCTCTGCTTTTCATCCTGGCCATCTCATGGAGTTGTGGAGTGCCCTGAGATGCGCCTCAAGATTTTACTGCAGTGCAAAGCAAGGGAGAAGAATGAACCAGTTCCTTTTATAAATGCATGTAGTATGATAAGCAAAGCCTTATTTCCTCATCGGATCTCGTATATATGGATTCCTGATGTCTTTGCCCAAAGATAAAGATGATGAGCTGAGCTGCACTGGAAAATAATTCCTGGAGTGCGGTCATTCCTCCTTAAGCCGCTGCAGGGCAGGCCCTGGTGAGAGGGCGAGGACCTGCCGCGGCCTGCCTGGTCACGTGATCGCAGCTCGCCCCTCCCTCCCCAGAAGCGCTACCCCAAGGAGGGGCAGTCCCTGGTCCCCACTGAGGTCAGAAGGGAGCAAGTCATGGGTCCTGTATTGAGGATGCTGGCCTAACCAATAGGTTCTTTCTAGATGTGCTGGAACTTCTTAGGGGACTGAGGAGGCATGTTCTCCTCATATTCCACAAGAATCGTAAACTATAACATTTCTCTCTTTTACTTTTTTATTTTATTTATTTTTTTAAAGTAGGCTTCACATACTCTGGTTTCTCTTCAGATCGTATAAGTCTTTCGCCTTTTAAAGTAGGCTTCATGCCCAGCTTGGAGCCCAGCAAGGGGCTTGAACTCATGGCCCTGAGATCAAGACCTGAGCTGAGATCAAGAGTCGGACGCTTCCCCGACTGAGCCACCCAGGCGCCCCACTTTTCTCATTTTAAAAAATGTTGTCTTTTGGGCGCCTGGGTGGCTCAGTCGTTAAGCGTCTGCCTTTAGCTCAGGTCATGATCCCAGGGTCCTGGGATGGAGTCCCGCATCGGGCTCCCTGCCTGGCGGGGGGCCTGCTTCTCCCTCTCCCGCTCCCCCTGCTTGTGTTCCCTCTCTCGCTGTGTCTCTCTCTGTCAAATAAATAAAATCTTTTAAAAAAAAATGTCTTTTTTTTATTAGATTGTGATGTAAAGCACCATGGAAGGCAGGAAGGGCAATTTAACTCTTTGAGGTGGTGCTCTTTAGTCAGTAAACACTGAAGCATCTGCTACTGACGGGACTCTAGCAGAGTAGACTTGGCAGAAGCAGGGAGGCGTCAGCATTCATTCCTGTTACGGATCTTCGTCTAGGTGGGAGCTTCGCTGCTGGTTTAAATTATTCATTCCTGTACAAGTGCTTACTCTTCTACTCTGTAAAGCCGGTGTGGTTTTTCTACTTACCCCCAGCAGTGTTTTTCTAAACAAAACCCTGATCAGACTGGAATGGGAGCATTCTTTTAGATGTGAGACTCATGAAGAGACATGGGTTTTTTTGATTAAAAGGCATAAATGGGTCAACTCACACAGAAGCCAGAGTGCAGAACGTCAGGGCCTCCAGGTCGCCCTTAACCCCCCAGCGGGCAGCACCATCTCTCTGTCAACCCCAGGCTGAGAACGCGGGTCTCGGTAGTGGCCCTTTGCCCGCACTGCTGCTGTCCTGCCGGCCACGGAGGCCCTTCCGTTCTTCCTCCCCCTGCTTGCCTCCCTGGCTCACCCTTCCTTTCCGCGCCCTCAGCCCCTGCTTTGCCCTTCCTCCCTTCCTCTCACCCCGGACTCCTCCCCTCGTTTCCTGACGCGTCCTGGTTTCTCCTTTTGGTTCCTCCTGTCTTGCTGAGGCATCTCTTGTCAGCAGCCCTCTGGCCTTACCTTCGTCAGCTCAGCACTTACCTTCGCATGCTCTCCCCCTTCCCTCTGCTGCTCAGACTCCCCACCCCACCTCCAGTGACTACGGCTTTTCCCCAGCAACCACACGACCAAGACCAGACCCGGACGGAGCACGTCTTCCCAGACCCAGGGAGCGTATTGACTCCAGGAGGCAGTCCCTGCTGTGACCTCCTCTGGGCAGGAGGAAGTGCTCTTCCTTCCTCCCTCCCTCCTGCCCTCCAGCCTTTGTCTTCCCTTTTCTCTTGTCGTTGTACAAAATCTGGTACAAAATCTACTCAGTGAGACGTATGAAGTACGCAGCTCTTGGCAGGCAGCTGCCGTGCCTTCTGGATCCAGGGGCTTCCCCCAGGAGGAGCCAAGCCTCAGCCAGGTCCATCTAAGGTTTCCAGGCCCTGGAAGGGGCTCAGTTGGAGGCACAGCCAACAGCCGGCTTTGCGGGGGGTGGTGGGGTTGGCAGCCCTCACCTGTTAAAATCGGATGGTGTGGGTGGAATGCAGCAGGGGCTGGGCAGCGTGGAGGTTCCAGGGAAGTGTATGCTTTGATAGGTTTGTACGCAGGTATCTACCTGTTTACTACCATGCAGAAAAAGAACATTTCCATCCTCACAGAAAGTTCAACTCTCAGAAGGTTCAACACCATCCCAGGGACTCTCATTTCCTGCGGGGCAGCCCCTACTCTGAATCTTCTATCAGTTAGCTTTGTCCTTCAGATTTGATTCCTTTGACACTTTGGGGTCTGCGCAGCATGATTGTGCGCCTTTGGGGGCGGGAACTCACATGGGTTGCTGCCTTCTGGGCATCCTTCTTGATGTGCTCTCATAAAACCTCCCAGCAGTCCTGCGAGATGGGTGTTGCTAGCTCCATTTTCTAGATAAGGGAATTAAAGCTCACGGGTTAGAATTATCCCAGATCACAGAACTGTTACTAATAGAGGTCAGAATCAACTGACATCCTATCTAGGACAGCCCCATCCTAGCTAGAAAAGCCCATGCATTTCCCCCATTTGCAGAGTCTCCCATGCTTTCCAAGGGGGGTTTGCTTCCTGTGTGTTTCCTGCTGTCTCAAACTGTCTTGTAAGCCCCTAGTTGGCAGGGATCGTGCCTTGCTGGTCTGGTAGGCCTGCAGTGCCCAGCATCAGAGTAGCTAGACGGTCACCAGGCGGTAGTCAGTGGATGAGGGCTTCCTAGCTCCCTGCCCGAGGATTGTGTAGATAGCTGAGGCTTTTGTACGTGGCTTGGGGGGGCGGTGGGGGACAGTGAGCTCCCAGGCAGCAAGCAGAGAAGAGGCCCAGGACTTGTCCGGGCCTCTGCTTCAGGCTGGAGGAAGGGGTGCCCCAGCGAGGGGTTCACACACCGAGATGGCGGATTAGGAGTCGGCACCACATAGCGCTGGGTGTCCTCAGTGCCTTCTGGTGCCCGTCTCACGGCAGGAACCCACGGCCTGCTCTTGGGTGACCCGAGAGCTAAGCAGGCTAAAATAATGCCGCTGCCCCGAGCACGTGGGGATTCTAATCTGAGAGTGCCTGTCTGCTGGTGTCCCCAAGGACACAGCGACACCCTTGCCTCTCCCCTGTGCGGGAGGCCCGGGGCAGGGGCTCAGCAGGAGGGAAGCAGTTGACGGGGTCTGAAAGAGCTAAATTCCAGGGTCCACCACCGCCAGCTGTTGCACCCCAACACAGAAACAAGGCACAGTTATAATGGTCGATCACTCAAGATGCAAAGGAGCTTTCCTTCCTTGTGACTGGTTTTGCGGCAGTGAGAATTACACCCTGCAAGCTCCTAGATTTTCAGTCTTTGGCATTTGTTTGCAGTTCGGAGAGATGCCTCCTTAAGGAAGGATCGTTCTCCTTCTTTATCAGTGACCTAGCCAGATGTGTGTAAGTGGCACAGTTCATAGTGTGCTCCTCTGTAAAGGACCCTCGAGGTGGCTTCAGGGGATAGTCAAGACTGGAAGCCTTGGGGGTCCCTGACTTTGGTTGCTCAGCCCTTGGTGAGAAGTGACTTTGCCCCGTGAGTGACTGACCGGCCTTGTTGTCTGAAACAAGATCTTTCTCTGTGGTACATCTGGAACTTGGCCTCCTCAAGGGTCCCGAAATAGCCAGGCGGCTGCAGGGACAACTTCATGAGAGGACAGGAGAGGGGCCCCAGCCACTCCTCGCCCCAGAGCAGCCTTTGCCACCATCATCGGACCAGCAGAAGTTTGTTCTCCTGCTGTGCTGCCCCTGTGTGCCTTCTGATCTCCCTCTCTTGCACCTTGTTCCGAAAGTGTCCCCGGGTGGGCAGCCTCGCCCCACCGCCGCCCGTCTACGAGGGCGTCCAAGCTGTGTCCTGTGTCTGGGTCCAGCACAACCTGTGTCGTTAGGAAACACTAGGACCTTTGAGGAAGCGGGGAAGCTGGCTGTAATTTAGTGGGTTGGACTTGACTCATCCTCACACCTTCTGATCTGGGTCTCTGATTTGGGGGACAGTCAGTGGCTCTCCTACATACTGCTGCTGGTTGTTACCCATAAAAGAAACCTGTCTGACCAGTTTGGGAAATTGGGACCTCTCTGTGCTCAACGGACGCCGTGGCTCACCTGCTTTCCCTCGATGCCCCTAACTCGTAAACTGGCCATACAGTGGCCTTGTAGGGGAGGAGCTATCCGGCAGACGCAGAGGGTGCCTGTGAGCAGCCTCGCCCTCTGTGCTCGGCTAGCTTGGCTGATGCCGGAGGTGGGGGAGGTGCCCAGAATCACTCCAGAAGGTGGCACTTAGCACCGTGTTTTTGCTGCTTTGGGGTGTTTTCTTCCCAGTTCCTAACCAGACTTTCTCCTTTTTGTGTTGTAGGAAGCACCGTCCTCTGCAAATGGCCCTTCCCAGGAGGGCCCCCGGCTGCTCCCTCCTCGGGAAGGCCACGCCGTGTACCCCCAGCTCCGACCAGGCTACATTGCCATTCCTGTCCTCCACGAAGGCGCCGAGGGCCGGCAGCCGCGCCCTTCCTTTGTCTGTCCCCAGCCAGGGACACAGCGATTCCGAACCGAGGCGGCCACAGAGGCTCCTCAGAAGTCCCAGTCACCCCTGCGGGGTGTGGCGGAAGCCACCCAGCCAGATAAACAGTGTGGACAGGCGGTGGCAGCAGCTGCGGGAGCCCAGCCCCCAGGCTCCCACAGACCTGAGGTAAGGAGAGCCAGCCGGTGTAACATGCAGGGCATCTGGGCCTGGCCTGCAACAGCAGAGACAGCATGACAGCTCCACAGTGTCCCCCAGCATTTCACAGGTGTGTGACCCCACAGGCAAGGGTCATGGCTTATTTCTGTGATTAAGGAATTGGGATTCAGAAGGGTAAACGACTTGGTCCAAATGTATAAAGGTGGAAGTATGGCATTTCTGGGACCGGAAGCCTGGCCTTCTGGCTCCTAATCTGGTGCTCCTTACTCCTACCAGGCTTTCTGTGTCCAAAACACAGGAATAGCTATATGTTACTTCATTTAGTTCAGTACTTACGGATAGGTATTAACTGCTTGGAGCTGTTTTGATACAGTGTCCCATGGCTTAAAAGGAAACCCAGAGGGGCGCCTGGGTGGCTCAGTCGGTTAAGCGTCTGCCTTCGGCTCAGGTCGTGATCCCAGGGTCCTGGGATCGAGCCCCACGTCGGGCTCCCTGCTCAGCGGGAGCCTGCTTCTCCTTCTCCTCTCTGCTTGTGTTCTTTCTCTCTCGTTATCTCTGTCACTATCTGTATGTCTCTCTTAAATAAATAAAATCTTAAAAAAAAAAAAGGAAACCCAAAATAAAGAGTCGGGGGGTCAGCTGCTCGATGATAGGGTTTTATTTAAGCCTGAAGTCCCTGCTTCAATGCACTAATATCTAAAGAGTTCTTCATCCAAAAAAAAAAAAAAAAAAAGAGTTCTTCATCCAGTTCTTAGCTGGGATTTGAGGGCCAGCGGACCCCAGGAGGATTCCTGAGCAGTCAGCCCTTCTGGTTTTCCCGTCTGCAGATTGTCCGGTGTTGTGAGTGCTGATTCTCACTCCGTGTCTGTGCCCAGAGTTAGCCTTGCCTCCTTTGCCTCTGTTCCTTTCTTGGAGGAGGGCCTGAATTTGTAATATTTTGTTGTAAGGATGTCACTTTTGAGGGACACATGAATCAGAGAAATCTGAAGCATATTTGAGCTAATAGGGCCCTTTGAAGCCAGCGGGGGAAACACCCACCTGATTTTCTAGGCAGCCCGGGGGCCGGCCCGCCTCGGACATGCGGGGAGTACTGCTCTCCGTGCCCAGCTGTGTCCTCTGCAGATTGCAGGGGAAGGATTAGAGAAAGAGGTGACATCAGTAACAAAAGAAGCCGCGCCTTGGGCACTTCTCTCTCTCTCTCTCTCTCTCTCTCTCTCATTAATTAATTAATTTTAAAAAGGCTGTTTGAACTGGGAAGAATTGGAATGGCCAGCCTCTTGGCTCTAGAGCCCCGAGCCCTAGCAGTACATTTTGGAGACGGAAAGGTTTGCAGGTAGACGGTCCTAACGTGTTACCCTGAGCAGGCACATAAAGGAGGCACAGTTGGGGCTCCAGGGCAGAGGGTCGCTCACGCCTCCACTCGTTGTGTCTTCCAGCGACCCCAGTCTCCAGCGGCTTCGGACTGCTCGTCCGCGTCCTCGTCGGCCAGCCTGCCCTCCTCCTCCGGCAGGAGCAGCCTGGGCACTCACCAGCTCCCCCGGGGCTATATCCCCATCCCTGTGATACACGAGCAGAATGTCACCCGGCCAGCCGCCCAGCCTCCCTTCCACCATGCCCAGAAGACCCACTACCCAGCTCAGCAGGCCGAATACCAGACCTACCAGCCGATGTACCACCGGGCCCCAGGGGACGACTGGGAGCCCCGGCCCGTGCCGGCAGCGTCCCCATTCCGGTCACCCGTCCGGGGTGCATCCAGCCGGGAGGGCTCTCCAGCCAGGAGCAGCACACCAGGGCACTCCCCGTTGCCCCACCGGGTGCACGCCGTGGTTGACAGGCCTCAGGTACGGAGTTGGTGTCCACAGACTGGCCCCCGCAGCGTCTCTCCAGGGGCTCAGGAGCAATGTGCGGGTGCCCTGGTTCCTCTGTGGGTCCTAACTAGCTCCCACGTGTTATGGGGGGAAAGCGAGATCCTGACACTGGCCGGTCACCGGCAGAAATGCAGAACAGGTGCTGGGAACGCTCAGTTCTTTCTGCAGCTTTGCTCATTTGTCGTTGCAGCTGCCTTTGGGGCAGAACCCTCGCCACCCCCGGGGGGAGATAGCTGGGCGGTGTGTGTAGTGTCACTCACACACCTGGGACCTGGGCGTCTTAGCACCAAGCACAGTTTTTCAGGGCCCTTCAGACCCCTTCCACACCCCAGCCACAGCCTCGTCTCCAGTGTTCCGGGCAGCTTGTTGCCTTCTCACGGATACCCCTTCTCTACTCTGCAAGCCCTTTCTGTTCTTCCCACCTCTGTGCCTTTGCTCTTGCTGACCCAGCTCCCTGAAATGCCATCACCATCCAGCTTCTCCCCATCTTCCAAGGGACCAGCCAGTCTTGCCTCTTTCGTGAAGCCGCCGCCTCTTCCTCATGGCATCCCATCACAGTCCCTTATGGCTTGGTATGGGTTATTCGGTGCATTCCAGAAGTGTTCTTCTTATCTGTTCAGCTCTGAGCTGGACGACAGGGACCTGTCTTACACCTCTCTCCTTTGGGATAAAGGACCACATTGCTTGACTGATGATGAGCCGGCTGGCTGGCTGACTGGGAAACCTTCCAGCCTGGTGAAGTTGCAGGCACAGACCTGTTCATCCTTCCGGGGCAACTTGTAGGGCACATCCTGGAGGAGGAGGAGGAGGAGGTCATTAGTTTTCATAGCTTGTAGCTTAGCAGAGCCTTGAGCAGCCCTGGGCCCCCCGACTTGAGCAGCCAAATTGGTTCTCTGCCACAATTTTTAGAAGGAAAGCCCCTAGTAGACAAATGCAGGGTGTCTTACCATATATGGTGATAACACCCTCCTATGGTTCTTTTTTTAGCTTCTTTATTTGGAAATATTTCAACCTTACAGAGGAGTTACAAGAGTCCTACAAAGAAACCCAGTATACCCTTCATCCAAATTCACTGTTAGCATTTTGCTGTATTTGCTTTGCCATTTCTTATTTCCATATGTATCGTCCATGTGGTTTCTTTGTTGGAGATCTAATCGTAGATATTGTGCCCCTTTATCCATAAATAATTCAGGAAAAATTTTCCTAAGAAAGACCTCATTCATAACCACAGTACAGTGATCAGAATCCAGGAAACTTAACGTCCTTAAAACATTGTTATCTGATACACAGTCCACTTCCAAATCTCCTTGATAGCGGTTTCCCCGTTCCAGGATCTAATCTAGGATCATGAGCACCGCATCGCATTTAGATATCATTTCTCCTCAATCTCCTTCAGTCTGGAACAGTTCTTCAGACTTCCTTTGCTTTCGTGACCTTGACATTTTCAAAGACTACAAGCTGTAGAGCAATTCCTCTTAAGAGTTTCTAAAGTCATTTTTCTTACCCAGAGATTGTTTTAAGACCCAAAGAGCGGTGTGTGGCTGGTTCCTGAGTGGTAAGGGCCAGAGTTGAGGCCATCTGCATTGGCAAAAGAGGTCTGGTGGGAAAGGGGGTTGTTGGCGCTCAGATGGCTAAGTAGCCACCAGATCCTAACTGCACCTCTATGTGTATTGTAACATTATTCACAATAGGCAAGATGCAGAAGCTGCCCAAGTGTCTATCAATAGATGAATGGATAAAGCAGATGTGGTATACATATACACCAGAATATTACTCAGCCATGAAAAAGAATGAAATCTTGCCATTGGCAACAACACGGATAGACCTAAAGGGTATCAGGTGAAGTGAAATAACTTGGAGAAAGAGAAATACCATATGATTTCATTCATATGTGGAATCTAAAAAAACAAAAGAGCAAACAAAAAACCAAGCAGACTCATATAAGCAGAGGACAAACTGATGGTTGCCCCCAGGGAGGTACATGGGGGGGGGGATGGGCAAAATAGGTGAAGGGGATTAGGAGGTACAAACTTCCAGTTACAAAATCACGGGGATGGAAAGTACAGTGTAGAGAATGTAGTCAATAATATCATGAGAACAGACGGCGACTGTACTTCCTCGGGTGAGCACTGCGGAGCATGTGCAACCGTCGAGTCACCGCGTTGTGCTCCTTAAACTAGAGCGTCGTCTATCAACTCTACTTCAGTCATAAAAAGGGGGATGAGAGGTTCGCTAAATTGCTAGGAGAGCCAAGATATTTGTTTTAAGCACAGCTCATTCTAAAAACCATCGGTCGCAGTTACTTTAAAAAGCACCTCAGCCTGGGTAGCCAGGAGTCAGTGCGGAGACGTGCAGCTGAGTGTTGGCACAGATGTGCCCCCACGAAATTCTCCCGGAGTTAACTATTTTGGGCATCCTGCTTACTCTCAGAAAAATACATCAGTCTGGGCAGAAACCACGAGGCTGTCATAGATTTAAAAAAAAAAGATTACAACTTTTCTGAAACAGGACGTGGGCCTTTCCCTCCCGGAACAGAGACCGTCCCCATGGCGTCAGGGAGGGTCGTGTGGCGGTTACTCCTCCGTGGCTGCCTCACCAAAATTCTGAGTCACGCAGGACTTTGCTTGGAGCTAAACTAGCTCGGCAGTTGGCGAGGTTGTTGGTGAGCGAGTTTTCATTTTTGAAAACTATATTGGTTTTCTTTTTGTTGCCCTAAGAATACCATCTACAGAAAAATTCAGTGAGCGGTAACAGACGCTCAGTCCGGGGTGATGAGTGGAAATGAGTGGTTTGGTCCCATACACGAACAGCATGTTTTTATTCTGTAACAGTATGTGGTTGGCTTCGAAAATCTCTGTTATACTGTTGAAGCCATTCCCCAGTTTTCTTTATAGTCAGTTGTACTAGCTACAAACAACTGCCTGAGACTCTCAGCCAGTTACTAAAAATATCTTTGTGTCCTTTGCCTGTTCTCAGCAGCCCATGACTCATCGAGAATCTTCACCTGTTCCCCAACCTGAACACAAACCCGAAAGCAAGCCAGGCCCAGTTGGACCAGATCTCCTTCCTGGACACATCCCGATTCAGGTGATCCGCAAGGAGGCAGATTTGCCACCTGTCTCCCAGAAGCCCCCACCCACCTCTGAGAGGGTGGAAGTCAAGGTTTCGGCGGCTCCGGCTCCTTGTTCGCCCAGCCCCGCCCCTCCTGCTGTCCCCTCGTCCCCCAAGAATGTGGCTGCCGAAGAAGGGGCAGCCCCCGGCCCTGCCCCCACCGAAGCCACACCCCCCAAACCAGGGGAAGCCGAGGTGCCCCCAAAACACCCAGGTGTGCTGAAGGTAGAGGCCATCTTACAGAACGTGCAAGGGCTGGAGCAGGCCGTGGACAACTTTGAAGGCAAGAAGACGGACAAAAAGTACCTGATGATAGAAGAGTATTTGACCAAAGAGCTGCTGGCCCTGGATTCGGTAGACCCCGAAGGACGAGCCGACGTCCGTCAGGCCAGGAGAGATGGTGTCAGGAAAGTTCAGACCATCCTGGAAAAACTTGAACAGAAAGCAATAGATGTCCCGGGTCAAGTCCAGGTTTATGAACTCCAGCCTAGCTCCCTCGAAACCGATCGGCCACTGCAGGAGATCATGGAGATGGGTGCCATGGCAACAGACAAGAATAAGAAAAGTGCTGGAAATGGAGAAGATCCCCACACTGAGAGCCCACAGCCAGAAGCCAAAGAAGCAGCAGCTGCAAACCCGGGCAGCCCCAGCACGGCAGACACAGCTGGGAACCCAGCCGCCCCGTAGTCTCCGCCCCGCGCCGCAGACCCGGGCCCTGGGAACTGCTGGTGTGCGGTAGGGAATTTTAAGTTGCATGCATTTCAGGGACTTTAAATCAGTTTGTTTTTACTGTTCGTAGGCGCTTGGTACACAGTAACTTGGGTGGAGGCCAAACACACTAATTAAAGGGCTAAAAGGAAAATAATGCTTTTCTTCTGTATTCTTATTCTGTACAAATAAAGAAGTTGCTTGTTTCAGAAGTTTAACCCCATTGCTTGTTGTTGGGGCCCTTTCTGTGCTCGGGCACCACGTGTCGGCCATGGTTGTAAGCTGTCTTCGTGGAGCTCTGGACCGAAGGAGGTTTTTGGCTGGTCGATGGGGTGTTGATTTCCCATCGCACAAATATGGAATCCATTTTTCAGAAACGTCGCCCTTTTAATGGGATGATTCTCTTCATCTCATAGCTAAAATAGCTAACTTTAGATAGAATAAAATGTGCAAGGAGCCCTAGGAATATCTGTATGTTGGATGACTTTAATGTTATACCTTTAGAAAAAGGAAAATAAAGTAATACTATAACTCAAGATGGTTTTTTTGTGATTTCTAAAGTTTTGAGGAGTGGCAGCATCAAGACTGGGTCTCCCTGGCTTCAGTAATCGCCCATATTTTCAGGCCGGCTCCGGGATCCACGACCTCTGTCCGGGCCTGGCTCATGAGAGAATGAGTGTCTGTCACATTTCATCCTCAGATTGCAGCTGATAACTGGGAATACTGGAGGCTGTGCACCCAGGTGATGGGAATGTGCCTCTTCCGATTGGCCCAGCTCAGTGGCCGCTCTGGGAGCATCTCTGCTCACCTGGCCTCAGGCCTCAGCAAGGGACTGGGAGGGTTCAAATGCACCCTCGTGTTGCCTGAGGCTGACCAAAGTGTTCTGTGCAGTCCAGGTCACCGGGGTTGGGAATGTGTTCTGTGAGAGTTTTAGGGTCATCTTTATCTGACATTTCTCTGAGTCATCAAACCAGGCTGGGTTTATCTTCCCAGATTGGGTTCCTAGAAGCCATAGGGGTTAGGGTCAGATGCTCTCAGAAGCCAGTGGGTGGAAGAAGATCCTTCCTTGTATGCCAGTGTTTTTTAAAAGCTTGGGAAGGACCACAGCCTCTGAACGTGCTAGACTTTGGTGTTTTAATTGCTTGTAAATCAAAAATGGAAGGACAGTCCTGAGAACTTGGAACCCCCAGAGAGCATGCTGACATAGAGCCCCCACGCCGAATTCCTCAGGACTGTACTGAGTTTAATATTGGTGCGTGACTATGCCATACAAAAATACACGCTCCTGGAGTTGCCACTCTTAGCCCGCTGAGAAAGGTTGAAGTCATTCCGATGGGAATCCGCCAGCATCGTTCCTGGGTGAATTCATGTGGGGAGTACGAGCTGACTGCTGATGACACACCATTGATTCTAGAAACCTGACTGTGTAAGTAGGCATAAAGGCCTCTACTGAACTTTTTTAAATGAACCAAAGATAAAGAATGTGACCACTTCTTCTTGTGACTTGGGCGTCTATGCTCAACGGACCTTAACACGAAGATTCCTTGGGTGGTTATGAATTGGACTGATGTTATTTTTATCACTAAACATCAATAGATAGCCCTTTACTATAGTTAGAAGATTTTTAATCGTTCACATCAGATGGTACCTGGCTATCTGGGTAGGAATTATCTGGCCTGTGCTGGTGGTCCCTGGGTCTTGCACGGGGGCAACAGGTTGGCTATAGGGCTGGCTGCAAGGTTCTTACTAACATAACTGTCTTGGTCTCTGTAGGAGTCGGGGGACAGATATCCACTGAGGATCTGTGGGGGGTTTCTGCTTGTGTAATCATCCAGGTGCCCTTTAGAGAACATCATAGTGGAGAACACAGGCTTGAATCAGAACTCTTGGGTTCAGTTACAGCTTCTTGTAATGGCCTTTTCCTTCCTTGTTTCCTCAGTTGTAAAATGGGGGAAAGTGATTAAATGAATTGAGACATGTGGAGCAGCGGAAGTTGTACCTGGCATGTAGCAAATGTTAGTTACTCTCAACATCCTCATGAAGTGGGTGAGGCAACAGGAAGTGACTTGCCCACAGAACTGGGAGCAGAGACAGGATTTGAATCCAGCCCCAGGAACCACAAAGGCCATGTCAGTCTCACCACAGTGCGCCATCATCTTCTTTTATTTTTATTTTTTTAAGATTTCATTTATTTGACAGAGAGAGGCACAGTGAGAAAGAGAACACAAGCAGGGGGAGTGGGAGGTGGGGAGAAGCAGGCTTCCCGCGGAGCAGGGAGCCCGATGCGGGGCTCGATCCCAGGACCCTGGGATCATGACCTGAGCCGAAGGCAGACACTCAACTACTGAGCTGCCCAGGTGTCCCTTCTTCTTTTTTTAAAGATTTATTTCTTTCAGGGGCACCTGGGTGGCTCAGTTGGTTAAGCGTCTGCCTTTGGTTCGGGTCATGGTCCCGGGGTCCTGGGATGGAGCCCCGCCTCGGGCTCCCTGCTCGGCAGAGAGCCTGCTTCTCCCTCTGCCTCTGCCTGCTGCTACCCCTGCTTTGTGCTCTCTCTGTCAAATAAATACATCTTCAAAAAAAAAATTATTTATTTCAGAGGTCCCTGGGCTTGGTTTCCAGAACTTTCTACAGCACCCCCCACTTCCTTTCACCAAGGGTCTGCACCACTCCAGCACATTCCCACCTTTGAGTGTGCCCTCGCCACTCTCCCCTCTTGTCCAGATCTTGCTCACCCTTGAGCCGCCATTTTGTGAAACCTTCCCTCCTGGGACAGTACCTTCCTTCTCAGACTTTCCCTCCCCCAAACTCCGTGCCTTCTGTCTGTTTGCCAGGGCACAATTGTCTTCCACCTGTTTGAACATCTCCAGTCATTTCCTGAGCAAGACTAAATTCCCCGAGGCAGTCCATTTTGAAACCTCTTAATTCCAACGTTGTTGTGCAGACCTGGGCACAGAGGTACCCTGGATGACCAGGAGACCCTTAAAGTCCCTTTGACTTAAGATCAGATCTTATGTGTCCAAGGCTCAACTGACATTTATTCCAAAATAAGCATCAATAATAGTTGATGGGAGTTTAGGGTCCCCAGCTGTGTTGAGTGTGGGTAAGTTGTTTCCTTTCTCTGGGCCTTCTGCACACTCCGTGGAAGGTGGGCACTGACCAGGGCCCCTCTTGGTGGTCTGGATGATTCTGGTGAGTCCACGCTTCTTACGGGGTTGAGTCTCTGGGCAGCATGGAGCTCCACTGTGGGCTGTGCATTCCTGCAGCTCCTGTGTGAGAGTGGCCAGTTTGCCCACTGTTCTGTAACATTATACAAATGTAATCATATGCCAGGGAACAGGATCCAGAGTCGCAGTTATTTTGGGATATGCAGGAGCCTGTGGGAAAATGCTGGAACATATCTGAGTCACTCAGGCAAATACCTTTCTTTCCGTGTTCCAGCATGTTTTGAGCTTCCAGGCGGCACAAATCCGCTCCAGCAGGCGCACACGCTCTGTGTGTTGGGCCTGCCCTTCCTGAGCAGCACTCCCTGTTTCCCTGCGGTGCTGCGGCCTCCTCTAGGCTCTGAAAAGTGAGTGTGGAGGGCGGAGCGGCAGGGCTGGATTAAGCCCTTGGAGGCCTTCAGGGTGGGAAAAATTCGTGGTGACACCCCCAGAAGGGATTCAAAATAAAAAGCAGTAGTAAGCCCCAAGTAGGTGTAAGGATGATCAGAATGTGCCACGTTACACTCTGTTGCTTTTTAAAAACTGGAAATAAAATTCCTCCAGTTGTGTGTGTGTGCACGCACTTGGGTGTGTTCTTGCTTTCCTGGGACTCAGGCTGCCTCTTGTCCAGCGCCACCCACTAGGAACCAGTGGAGATCAGAAAGAGCCACCTCGGTCCCCGGGGAGGGCACTGAGCAGGGCGAGCGGGGACCAGGAGCAGAGCACAGAGTGCTGACCATCCTGCTTTCAGGGAGAGGGTGGGGAGGCAGCCGCAGGACCTGCGGACGGGGTCCTCTCCAGACACAGGAGCCCAGAACAGGGGTGCCAGAACGGCAGGTGCACCTGGAAGCTAGCCTGAAGGTGGCACAAGGAGATGCAGAGGGGATTGGAGAAAGCATCCCAGGTAAGAAAGAAGGGGCCTTTGTCCAGAGCGGGGCTCTTCCTGACCCTGCCTGCTCCAGCCAGAGCTCTGCCCTGATGTCCTTGCTTGCCCATGTGGAGGCTGGGCTTTCTCCACATCCCCGTCGCTGAGCAAGAAGGTCTTCTCTTGTCCCAACAGGAGTCCTACCTTCAGTCTCCCCCTGGTTTTCTTCTGCTTCCTCTCTCTTTCTCGCGGAACAGGGCTCCTTCGCTGCCCACTCCCCCTCTTCCCCTGCCCACTGCTAAACAGCGAGGTCTCGACCTCCTGCTCTTATCGCTGGGTGGTGGTTAGCTGTGTGTCAATTTGGCGAGGTGACTGTACCCAGATGCTTAATCCAACACTAGTCTAAGAGTTGCTGGTGGAGGTATATTATAGATGTGGTTAATTTCTACAGTCATTTGACTTGACGTAAAGGAGATTACCCTCTATAATGGGGGGGCCTCGTGCAATCAGTTGAAGGCCTTTAGCGCAACAACTGTTTTCCTGGAAACAAAAAAACTCGGCCTCAAAACTGTACCATCAGCTCCCACCTGAGTTTCCAACCTGCCTGCCTGACCTGCAGATTTCAAACTTGCCTGTCCCCATCGTCATGTGAGCCAATTCTTTAAAATATCTCTCTCTAAAGCGTGTGAGCGCACGCGCACACACACACACTGTGTTTCTCTAGACAACCCTGACTCACACTGTTTATGCTCTCTGCTGTCGCTGGGTCACTGGCTGCCAGTTTCCACACCGCAGTCACTTCTGGGTCTATGTCACCGATACCCTCTTTCTCCTGAACACCAGACTTCATGCACAGCTGCCTACGGGGTTCCTTCAGCACCACATCAGCTCTGTCACAACACCGGCCTTCTTCGGGGTGCAATCTCAGAGGTCACCACCAGGGGGAGGAGTGACAGAGCCAGCTGTCCCAGTGGCCGGCTAGGGCCTGGGGGGCAGACGCAGGCTGCAGAGGTCACCACCAGGGGGAGGAGTGACAGAGCCAGCTGTCCCAGTGGCCGGCTAGGGCCTGGGGGGCAGACACAGGCTGCTGCTCAGCCCCGGCGAACAGTTGCCACGGAGGAACGGGGCTCTAGCGTTGTCAGAGTTTTCCAGTGTTCAAGAAAGTCCGGAAATCTGTTCATGTGAGATCTCTCCATTTTTAAATATTTTTAAATGTTTTTTTAAAACCCAGCTGGCCCAACAAACCCCATCTGTAGGCCAGATTTGGCCTTTGGGCAGCCAATTAGCAAGCTCCAAGTCCCACTGTGCTGCATATATTTAATTCTGTCCCCAGTCCCTTCTGGGCCCCCCTCTGCTGTGAGTTGAGAGTGTGAGGACTGTGGCCTGGGTTCCTTTGACCCCACTTGGGGTGAAGCAAGTCAACAGGAGAAGGGGGGCAGACCGAGGGAACTTGGCTGCCTGCTCCCATTCT